CCACACTGAAGACAAATACAGTCTGTCTCCTGTCCAGTTCCCTGATTTTGCTGCTTTCGTGACTGCTTCTTTGCCTCAGCTTGCTGGACAAGTGTCTCTTCAAATTGGGAGAGGCCGTGGTGCAACGCCTGCCTCCAGGCTGAATGCTCAGATGTCAGGGTTTCCCATCTGTTGAGGTCCATTCCTAAGGCCTTCAGATCCCACTTGCAGATATCCTTGCATTGCGGCGAATTCCCTGCACTAATTCTCCATACAGGAGATCTTTTGGAATCTGACTATCAGCCATTCTCACCACATGCCCAAGCCAACGTAGACATTCGAGTCCTACTGGTCATGAAATATACTGCTAGAATTTTTTTGAAGGCATAACTGTGTTGCTATATGCAAGGATATCAGGTAAAACAAAATGAATAAGATACAAAAATGTTGTGGTACCTTAAAGACTAACAAATTATATTTTGAAAAAAAATTATTTTAATGTCATGTCTTTACCCCATCAAGATGCTTTTTTATACAAATACAGTGGGTGGGGTGTCATGGGTTATTTGTTATTTATAAAGAGTGGCTGTGACACAAAAAAGGTTGGGAGCACTGGAATATAGGATTGCAGCCAGAGGACGACTCAACAACGGGAACACTCGCCATCCTGAACACCAGTTTGAAAGTCAGATGTTCTCTTACCCTCCTTTTTAAAAGATTCTTTCTTATTACTCTGTTTTCCTGAAAATAAGACCTAACCTGAAAATAAGTCCTAGTAGGATTTTTCAGGATGCTCGTAATATAAGCCCTACCCCCAAAATAAGCCCTAGTTAAGTGAATCCCTGCCCTCCACCATTGTGCAGCAGCCTGAAGATGAAATGACTGTATTTGAATAAATGTAGATTGTTGTACCTGAAAAAAATTAAACATCCCCTGAAAATCAGCCCTAATTTGTTTTTTGGAGCAAAAGTTAATATAAGACCCTGTCTTATTTTCGGGGAAACAGGGTATTTGCCTTGTTGAGTTATTCAGGTACAGAAATGTAAACTACTGACGATTGCTATTCATAAAATAGATGCGTTGTGGAGGCACAGAGGGGGAAATCCAGTTTAAGTTTATAAAGAGTGCTTCAATAATCTGTTTATATATAGAAAAGAGAGAATGCTTTATCTTATGGTGTCACTGTAAAATATAAATTCAGTATGCCATTTCATTGTGATGGATAATTTCCTTAGAGAAAACTTGCCCTATAGCATGGAGAAATTTAACCCTATTGCTTGAAGAAAAAAATATGACAAGCAAACCAGGCGATTATGAAAGACTGATGCACAACTATCAGTGGAAAAAACCTAGCTGTTGTTAATTTGACAGGAGCATGTTTTGGGGCATCTGGTAATACTGTATTCAAAGGATTGCTCTGGAGGATCTTGATCTTCTTTCTTAAAAGCAGATTTTATCATAGTGGCTGCTTGGCATCTTTGTTCTTGCTGATATAGTATAGTGCAGAGTTTCAGAATAGTAAAAAACAAAACAAAACCAAAACAAAACCACTATTCTGGCGCAGCAGGAGAATGCCAGAAGAGAATTGGCAAGTTGCAATTGAGGTGGTTTAGCACACAAGATTGTTAGTATACTTGATCTCTCCTACTATGCATAACGTTTATATTTTTCTAATACTTCTTGCTGCCTCAGCTTGAGTGGGACACATAGCATGCTAAACAATAAGGAGAGGAAGGAGAATCATCAACATATGCAGGAGTCTAAATTATTTCTTTATTTCAAACATCTCTGTGTTGCTAAAGCCGTCCTAAAGTGGGACATAGAAATAGTCTGCAGTTGCAGTCCTTCCATTACATTCTCCAGCCCAGTCATTCAGATGAAACCACTTTTTAAGAAATGGTAGCAATTTAAGAAGTTGAAAACTCAGTGCAGTGTATTAAGTAAGGTAAAGGTAAAGGTTCCCCTTGACAATTTGTCCAGTCGTGTCCGACTCGAGGCAGCGGTGCTCATCTACGTTTCCAACCCATAGAGCTAGCGTTTGTCCGAAGACAATCTTCCATGGTCACGTGGCCAGCGCGACTAGACACGGAACACTGTTACCTTCCCACTATGGTGGTACCTATTTATCTACTCGCATTTTGCATGCTTTCGATATTAAGTATTAATAATTAAGTACGAGGATATTAAAACAAAATATAATGCCACCTCCAGAAAGGTCCTATGTTTCTTTCTCCATTGATAGATCTTGCCAATGGGTCTGCAGTCCAAACCACAAAACCGGTTGTATGGTTTAGCCTGGTTTTTATAGGTGTGGGAAGTTCTTTGAATAACCTGGACCCAAAATGTGCAGGGAGTCTGTAGTATGACATTAAATGTCTTTAGTAGCATTTTAAAGCAGGGATGGAAACAAAGAAGTAGTTAATGCAACTATTACAATATTGAGTTATACATCTCCAGAACCTCCTGTTCCAGCAAGCATCCATGGGCTGTATTCAGCACCAGTGGAAGTTCTCAGGTTCATACAGCCCTCCCAATGTGCCATCTGGGCCTTCTAACACTCTCATGCTGGGGGGAGGCAGGATGGATTTTGGCATAATTATGGCTGGTTATGCCCTAGAAGCCTCCAAGGAGATTAGCTCTTTAAAGACTACCTGTCTCCTTGCCTGCTTTCAACTTGAATAGTCTTTGTTTCTGGCATGATGGTCACTTGTCATTGGAAGTTACTATCATACCAACTGCTGAAAAATCAGCAGTTGTGGCCTGCTAAGGTCTGTAGGAAGGCAAAAATGTCACCCAGACTCTCTGAAGTTACTCACCCTTTGCAGTAGAAGGATGTGTGATGTTAATGCTGTACGTATTAGTTCACTCACTGTTAACATTTTATATTTTTAGTTGGATTTTTATTTCACCTTTATCTCTAAAACAGACTCAGGATGACATGGTATAATTAAAAAAAGAAACATTAAGTATTAATCGTATTAAAACAATGCCACTAAAACTATTTTAACATCTGAGTTAAAAATAAAGACAATTAACAACAGAAAAGTGCAACACATGTTAGTTCACTCGCTGTTAACATTTTAGATTTTTAGTTGGATTTTTATTTCACCTTTATCTCTAAAACAGACTCAGGATGACATGGTATAATTAAAAAAAGAAATATTAAGTATTAATCGTATTAAAACAATACCACTAAAACTATTTTAACATCTGAGTTAAAAATAAAGACAATTAACAACAGAAAAGTGCAACACATGCTTCAGAAGATCCTGCCCTTAGCAGGGGAAACTACCGTATTCTCTTTAAGCAGGCATTTGAAATTATTTATTGTGGTTTATTGGAGACCTCTTAACCACTTTTGTTGATAGTGATATGTGAATTTGTGATATATGTGAATTTATTAAGAAATAAATAGTCACTCCGGTATATATTAGAATGAAAAAAAATGTATGCATTGTTCAAATGAGGAAGCCGTTGATGTTACATGCAGATCATATACAATAATTGGAGTAGGGCAGACTGATAGGTGGAAATCACCAATATTCTGATGGTCAGTGAATATTCAGTTAATGCTGTAGCTCTTGACATGTTAGGGGTGCTGTAACAGGCCAACATTTTCTAGAATTTGTTGCTGCCTCACATGTTGTTGCTGTTATGTGCAGTCAAGTCAGAAATGACTTATATAAACCCTAATAGGGCTTACAGGGTAAATGGAATATTCAAGGAGTGGTTTTATCAGTTTTAATCATGCAGTGAGTTTCCATATCTAAGTGACGATTCATACCCAGGCCTCCTGAGTCCTGGTCTGTCACTCTTCCCACTACAGCACACTAGGTATCATGTAATAGTATTGGAAATGAGTATAGTCTTGCAGCAAAATCCTCCTTTTCCTCAGTTCTGAAATCAGTATACTGTACTGACTGGGTACACATCATCGTTGCAGGTACTGTATGTGGTTGGTTAGGCAAGGATAAACAAAACAACAGTTAGATTCTACTACGTTTCCCCGAAACTAAGACAGGGTCTTATATTAGTTTTTTGCTCCCAAAAAACACAATAGGGCTTATTTTCAGGGGATGTTTTATTTATTTCTTCATGTACAACAATCTGCATTTATTCAAATATAGTCATGTCATCTTCTGGTTGCTGCACAATACGGTGGTGCCTCGCATAGCGAGGTTAATCCGTTCCGGATTAACCTTCGCTATGCTGAAGCATCGTTGAACGGGGCAGGGATTTCCATTGGAACGCATTAAACATGGTTTAATGCGTCCCAAATGGGCCAAATCCTCCCCGTTCAGCGAAGCTTCTTAATGGCCGGCAGCCATTTTCGCGCCCTCGCCTCGCTTAACGAGGGCGCGAAAACGCTGGGCGCAGCCATTTTGGGCCATTTCCGGGTTTCCGGCGGCCCAGCTGATCGTCGGGCTTCGTTTTGCGAAGATCGGTAAGCGAAACGCTTACCGGTCTTTGCAAAGCGAATTTAGCCCTATTAGAAAAACGTTGAGCGATCGCATTAGCGCTCCGAAAAAATGGATCGCTATGCGATTTCGTCGTTATGCAGTGCGCTCATTAAGCGAGGCACCACTGTACTGCACAGTGGGGGAGGCTGGGGTTTCATTTAACTGGGGCTTATTTGGGGGTAGGGCTTACATTACGAGCATCCTGAAAAACCATACTAGGGCTTACAGTGGACCCTTGACTTACAGACGTCTTGACTTACAGACTTTTTGACTTGAGAACCGCCTTCCAATACGGATTAAGTTCTCAAGTCAAGACCCCACTGTATTTTCAGGTTAGGTCTTATTTTTGGGGAAACATGGTAGTTACATATACGTACAGAATTGCTTTCAGAATTCTACTTCTGTAAACCCTATGATGGCATTGCAGAAGACTGCAGGCAACCCAGACATTGCTCCATAAAAATTTGGTATACAACACAGTATGTTATTGACAATTTCTAATGTAAAAGTTTATAGTTCATTAATTTGATTTTCTCTTCCTCCCCCTCTCCTCAATTTTAGGGAACTGTCGTCTTTTCATACCGATTAACTAAACTTGGAAATGGGACACCTTTCTTCAAAATCGTACTTCAAGGTATTTAAGCATAATGTGTGCAGTTGTATTCACCATAGTGTGCGCGCACAGAAGGTCAAAAGTGTAGGTTAAAAGACAGAGTGATCCTAGCAGAGGACTAAGAGGGAAAGGAGAATCTGCAAGTTTAAAAAGCAGTTGTAATCATGGGAGGATTTGTTAGAGAAGAGAGTATGTGTGAGCTGAATGCTGAAAAGGTGGGCTGTTGTCTTTCGCAAAAAATTACCCTTATTAAAATGTATGATGCCACTGACTAATTATTTATCTTGTCTCTTGGTGCTTTCCTTTATTGATCTGGCTCGCCAAAATGATTTGTGGTGTTGGAAGTTTTGGTTATAGCACGAGTAGACAACAAGTGGCTCTCCAGATGTTTCCAGATGGATGGCTTTGTTAGTCTTTTGCAGAAATAAACAACAATAAAGAGCCCCATGGCATATTAAAGACAAACAAATTTTGTTCAGCACAAGCTTTCATGGACTATAGCTCACTTCATCTGATGAAGTGAATGAAAGTTCATTAAAATGTATGCTAAATAAAACTTTCACTTCTTCATCGTGGGCTCTGTGAATGCACACATATGGGTCTTGTCTGCGCCTGTGCTGACGATCTCGGAAGATTCTAGAGCTAAAAGTAACAATTTTATGGTGTGATCTCCCATGAGGCACATGCTCCTCCCACCTACCTTTCCCCTCAGTTCCTTTTTTCTGCCATGCTGAAAGGTTCTATGGAAGAGAGAGTGCGATATTTTGGCCTTTTTTCTGCTGCTAATAAGCAATTACAGCGGTGCCCCACAAGACGGGTGCTTCGTTTGACGATGAAATCGCATCACGATGATCTTTTTGCGATCGCAAAACAATGTTCCCTAGGGGGGAATTTCGCTTTGCGATGATCGGTTCCCTGTTTCGGGAACTGATCATTGCAAAGTGATGATTTTTAACAGCTGATTGGCGGTTTCAAAATGGCCACCGGGTAAACAAAATGGCCACCCACTGTGTTTTTGCACGGATTCCTCGCTGTACAGGCAGCGAAAATGGCCACACTGTGGAGGATCTTCTCTGGATGGTGAATTTGAAGCCCCTAGAAACACATTAATCTGGTTTTAATGTGTTTCTGTGAGCTTTTTAAAATTGCATTACGACTTTTTCGTTCTACAGCGATTTCGCTGGAACGAATTAACGTCGTAATGTGAGGCACCACTGTACCTCTTTCAATTATCTACTCAATGATCTTTTCCTATTCTGATCTCCCGTGAGTTATTGCCTCTTCGATTGCCCCTACAGTTCTCCAGATTTTTCCCCTTCTCTTCCCTGGGACTTTCAGCTGTCCTTTCCTCCCTTCCCGCCCTTTATGGCCTCTTCAGCTCTTTTCAAGCACTGCGTCGGCTGCAATAGTAAAATTCCATCTAACGATGGCCATGAAAAGTGTTTATTCTGTTTGGGTGAGGAACATCAAGCCCAGTCCTGCGTGGCTTGAAAGGTTTTTAACAAACCCGCGCTAAAACACAGGCTACAAAGATTATGATCTCACCTTTGGGAAAAGAGCCATGAACCCTGCTGCCGTTGCTCCCAGCGAGGCTCCGCATTCCGAAGCAGCTCCACCGCAGCAAGCTTCATCTGCCACCCCGGGGCATTCAACCCCTACGCCCCGCTCCAAGGAAGGCTCCGATACATCTAGGGCTTCCAAATCTAAAGCCACGAAGGAGCACGAATAATCTAAGAAAAAGAAAGAAAAACCTGTTACCAAAAAGTCTAAAAAAGTTAAACCTGTTCGTCTGGATCCACCCAGAGAACATCCACCCTCTCCAATTGCAAAATTGCAACCTTTTCTCCCATTCTGAAAACATATCACAAACGACAAGAGGGTTCTTAATATTATTTCATCAGGTTATCGTATTGAGTTTGAATCTGTTCCTCCTTTGGGCAATTGTAAATTTATTCCATACTCCAATGCCCTTCAAGAAGAAATTTCCACTCTACTTAACAAGCAAGTCATTATTTCGGTTCCAATTAATGACTCCCCTCATGGTTTCTACTCCAGATATTTCATGGTACCGAAAAAAGACAGAGGCCTCCGTCCAATCCTCGATCTAAGGGATCTTAATACCTATATACGACCTCGAAAGTTTCGAACGCTCACACTTGACACCATTATTCCCCTTCTTTTACAGGGGGATTGGTTCGTCCTGATCGACCTCAAGGACGCCGATTTTCACATATCCAGCCAGCCAGCCCACCACAGGTACCTCCGTTTCCACTTCAACAACTGGGCTTACCAATTCTGCTCCCTCCCATTTGGACTCTCAATGGCCCCAAGAACTTTTACAAAGTACATGGCACCGATTGCGGCTTTCCTCCACCTCCAGGGTATCCACATCTACCCTTACATCGACTTCCATTCTGATGCAATCTTGATAGCCCCCTGGTGGCTGAGATAACCATGGTTCCCTTACCTGCGATCGATCTCGATGGACATACTTCAACTCCCTCTGCTCTCCGATCTTCTGACGTTGGGCGGCGGGATGGTCTGCCACCCAGACCTATCGTCTCTTCACTTGACAGCTTGGAGGATACTCCTGACTTTCAATCAGTCATAGATGCAGCTCGAAAGCCGTCCACCAGACTCCTGCATGAAAACAAGTGGAAATCCTTCCTTAAATACACGACAGACAACAACTTACCTGCCATACCTGTCTCCATCAAAAACTTATTCACTTACCTTCTTCATCTCTTTAATTTGGGCTTATCTCTCCCAACTCTCAGAGTTTATATTGCAGCGATTATTGCACACCAACCTGATGACTCCTCTTCTGCAAGACTTTTCTCTCAATCAACTGTAAAAAGGGACCTAACAACAGCCGCCCCCACCTCAACGTATTACCCCTCAATGGTCACTGCAAATCATTCTTAATGCGCTTATGCGCCCTCCATTCGAACCCATGGCCACTTCAGACCTCAAACTGTTTACCTTCAAAACGGCATTTTTGGTAGTTGTCACTTTGGCTAAGAGAGCCAGTGAGCTTGCTGCTCTCAGGTTGGACCCTCCTTTCACCCAGTTTCATCCCGACAAGGTGACTCTGTACTTTGATGTCTCTTTCCTCCCAAAGATTGTAACTGATTTCCATACAAACCAACCAATAATTCTACCCTCCTTCTTCAAATCTCCTTTATCTCCACTAGAGCACATGCTCCATAAGATTGATGTTCGACGTTCCTTAGCATTCTATTTGAACAGAACGAAGGACGTCCGGACCACCAACAGGCTATTTATCTGTTTCCTTGGTCCTAACAAGGGAAGCCCAGCATCTTCACAGTCTATCTCCAGATGGACAGTGCAGACCATATCCCTTGCTTACCAACTGTCAGGAAAACCACCACCTGACCAGCTCAAGGCTCATTCAACTAGAGCACTTTCTACTTCAATTGGCTTCCAGTGTGGCACAGACATTCCAGATATCTGCCGTGCTGAAACTTGGTCCACTCCGTCAACTTTTGTCAAGCACTACTATGTAGATGTCAGAGTGTGCAGAGCTGTCTTAGCTTCCTTTCTACCGTCCTGCCGTGCTGAAACCTGGTCCACTCCGTCAACCTTTGTCAAGCACTACCGCCTAGATGTCAGAGTGTGCACTAATGCTGGTTTTGGCAGAGCTGTCTTAGCTTCCTTTCTACCGTGACGTCCCATCTGCCAGTAAGTGAAGCTTGCTAGTCACCCATATGTGTGCATTCACAGAGGGCACGATGAAAAACACAAGGTTACTTACCTATAACCATAGTTCTTTGAGTGGTCCTCTGTGAATTCACACTACCCACCCATCCCTTCCTTCTATCTCTCATGAGGCCTTAATAATTCTATACCTTTGCCCGGCAGACTTATTTTAGGAACTGAGGGGAACGGTAGGTGGGAGGAGCATGTGCCTCATGGGAGATCACAACATAAAATTGTTACTTTTAGCTCTAGATTCTTACGAGATCATCAGCGCAGGCACAGACAAGACCCATATTGAGATCAGCAGCACAGGTGCAGACAAGACCCATATGTTTGAATTCACAGAGGACCACTCGAAGCACTATGGTTACAGGTAGGTAACCTTTTTTAAGGTGCCATAATCTTTTTCCTCTAGCTGTTATTGAACTACAACTCCCATCACTTCTACCCATATAGCCAATGGTCATGACAGTTTAACAACATCAGGAACAGTGATTTCTGAAGGGGGCCCAGATGTTCTCAGACCTACAGCTCATAGAAACCCTGGCCATTGGTTGTGTTGGCTGGGAATTGTAATTCAAGAACATCTGAGGCCTCAAATTTGGAGGACCACATGTTTCCTAGCTCTGATGTATATATCCTGGCAGGATGTCAGCTTATTCTTTGCTTATTCCTATGGGCCACTTACTGTATAAAGAATTGTGAATCACCTGTCTTCCTTTCTGTGATAAAAGTGAATTTTATACACATTTTTGGGGAACTGTTCGAATATCCCTGACGTTCCAAATCTGTTAATATTCCCGGTTTTGCCACCTAAAACCACTGGGGCATGACTTTTCTTTGTTGAATTCAGATAAATATCAGAATAGCACTGTTCATGTATATCTTTCCAGGATCAGAAAACTCATCTTCCGAAGCACATACCATCAATATTTTTGTGTTTGGGAAGCTGGCGGAGGAATGTGCCAAAGCTATACATCAAGGGGTAAATCTTTAATTTTTCTCCTTAATAACAATAAGAGAGAGTATGCCTTTCTGTCTGTCTTTCTGATAGTTCCAAGACACTGAAACCCAGACTGCAATTTGGCCTCACTCTTTAGGATGCCTTGAAGGGATGTATCTTTGAGCAATTGGGTAGTATGACACAGGCTTACTATATCATACAGTCACAGCCAATTTATTTTCATTATCTGGGACTTTTATTTTTGCCATAGATATATTGCTTCACAAGGAACACAGGGTGTAAAGGGATGAATAACAGGAATCAAGAAGATTCTCCTTGTGTATTATTTAACTGCTCACTCTACAAGCAGAAGTAACCACACAGTTTGTAACTGATAAGCCGGAGTTACAGTGGTTCCTTGATTTATTGTTTTGTGTGAATGTGGCCTACGTGAGAAGCACTCTGCTCAGAATTTTCTGTACGTTAGAAAAACCATTGAAAGGAAAAAGATTCTCATTGGACCATTTGTCCAATTTACCTACATTTATTTTACCTGTTTCTCTCCCTTCATTTGCTTCTCTTAGGTATGCTTTCTTTGGGAGCAGACTTTGGACATAATCTTCCTCTTAAGCATATTCTTACCCTGTTTCCCTGAAAATAAGACAGGGTCTTATATTAATTTTTGCTCCAAAAATGCATTAGGGCTTATTTTTAGGGGATTTTATTTTTTTTCATGTATAACAATCTACGTTTATTCAAATACAGTCATGTCATCTTCTTCTGATTGCTGCATGGTGGCGGAAGGCAGGATTTCACTTAACTGGGGCTTATTTTTGGGGTAGGGCTTATATTATGAGTATCCTGAAAAATTCTACTAGGGCTTATTTTCAGGTTAGGTCTTATTTGGGGTGAAACAGGGTAGATATGTCATAAATAATTCTAGTCTCTACAGCAAGTGTCTGATGAATATCAGCTACATTTTGATTTGATATAGATGCTAGGTTTTTCTGACATGAACTGCTGTTGAGCTAGTACAGCTTTCCTCAAGTACAGATAGTGTCAGTAATTGTTTTTGGATTGTATGAGTAGTACGTCTTCTAGTAAGTGGATATTCTCTGTAGCAAAAAGGAAATTCAATACTTATAGTTTGTTCTGTAGGCTATTTCTTTCTATGCTTGATTTATGCGCAATGTACTGTACATTGCTGAGTCAAGTTGGTATGAAACTGGCTTGCTTAATGAGGCTAGAGGTTAGCTGAACAATTGATTATTAAATGGCCCCAAATCCTCAAAAAGAATTTAATGGTCAAAATCATTTGACATTTGAAGATAGAAAATGCCTAAGATAGAAAATCATTTACCATGCTGGCTGGGGCTTCTGGGAGAATAAACCTAAAACTGCTGCATCAAAGACCTCCGCTGCTCTGATTTCCATACTCTTTTCTTCTTCTGCCTTCTACTGTTGTCCCATCCCGAGCCATTCTGCAAGATGTGATTACTTTTCAAGTAGATCCTTAGGGAATGCAGTATGCAGAAGGGGGCAAGTAGGTCTTCTTCTGTTCATGCTACTTCTCTGAATCCAACCCTGCAGATATTGATCAATTCTTTGTGTCAGATTTTATGTTATCTTCATGCGTTACTGCTTCTTTATGTTCTGCATCTATTGAGAACTGAGCTCCAGCTACTGAGAGTTGACTGTTCTTGCTTGGACTGGTTTCCTGGTCTAGGTCATCTGTGAGAAGCAGCATAGGTCTGATGTCTGTTCCCAAAGAAAGCATACCTTGTTTTGTTACCACTTGTTTATACATCTCATAGTATTCAAGTAGTAATCACACTTTACACTCTGACAGTTCTTACTCAGAGCCAGTTCATAAGAGGGTTAATAAACACGTAGGCCTTTGATGCAAAGTTCCAGTCCCGCCCCAGTCTGTTCTAGAGAGGTAGGAGACCATCCACAAGAGTGTGTGAGCTGGCACTGATGAATGTGGAGGAAGAGAGATATGCAAACACTGCTCCACTGGCCTCTGGCTTGCTTAATTTTATATTTATGCCACTGGAGAGAGCTCCTTAGTTTGAAGAAGGCCAACACTGGGACCCATCCATTGACTGAAACGATATAGCCCTAAATGTGTTTGTTCAGAAGTATGTCCCATTCAGTTCAATGGGCCTTACTTCAAAATAAATGATTATAGAGTGAAAGCCAAAATTTTTCTTTCTGCTTTGAGTAAGGCACGGGATACGTGAAATAATATTTTTATTGTGCTAAGTATTTACCCTTTTCGAAATATAGAGAGTTCATTTGGTATAGGTGTTCAGAACAAGAACAGTTTATTTGTACAGAATAATAGCTGGATCGTAATCTCTTAGGGTAGACTGCTTATTTCATACAGACAGTTTGATTTAGCATTATCCAAACAAAATGGCTTGAGGAACAATTTGCATATATATTTCTTGACAAAGACGGAAAGTACAGATATGGAAGAAATAATAACACAGTCTTTCAGTTACACATTCTTCCCTTTCCTGCTCAAGAAACCATGGTAAGTTTGAAAGTAAGTACAGTACAATATGTCTGAGGGTATCAATCATGCTAGCTGTGCCACTCATTAAATAGAAGATGGTTAGCTTGATAATTAGGTAAAGATTCCCCTTGACATTTAGTCCAGTCGTGTCCGACTCTCGGGCGCGGTGCTCATCCCCATTTCCAAGCCATAGAGCCAGCGTTTGTCCGAAGGCAGTATCCGTGGTCGCGTGGCCAGCGCAACTAGACACGGAACGCTGTTACCTTCTCACCAAGATGGTACCTATTTATCTACTTGCATTTTTACATGCTTTCAAACTGCTAGGTTGGCAGGAGCTGGGACAAGTGATGAGCACTCACTCCGTCATGTGGATTCGACCTTACAACTGCTGGTCTTCTGACCTTGCAGCAAACAGGCTTCTGCGGTTTAACCTGCAGCACCACCATGTCCCTCTCAGCTTGATAATTAGCTGCTTGTAAAAGCAAATTTGGATGAGTTTGTTCAGAACACAGAGCAACTTCTTCTAGGGTTGAAGAACACTTTTCTTGTGACCTGGTGCTAGTACAGCTTTCCTCAAGTAGATGCCCTATAGAAATATTAAACTGCAGCTCCTATCATCTGTATGCTGGGTGTTGGATGTCAGTGCTTCCAGAGGATACCTTGCAGGTGAAGGCTGCCTTAGCACATAATCAGAATTTTGAACTTCAGAAAATATTTTTAAAGTGAACTAATCTCTGCAGCCTTTTCTCATGTAGAGCAAGCTAAATTCCTTTTTGATCCATCTTACCATAGGATATGAAAATGATATATCTTTTCTGTGAAGCACAATGCAAACTTCATTTCTAAGCAGACTGGAGTAAGTAGACATCTTGAAGTTATGCCCAGTTATAATTTATAATGTCACTCACAGAGCTTGGGAAATTTTTGAAGTACAATTCCCAGTGTTCCCTGTCAGTATGAGCACTGGCTGTATTGCTGGTGGGTACTGGGAGCTGTAGACAAAAATTACTCTTCCAAGCTTTGGTCACTCAAAATGTTTTGCCAGATTTAGAGGAAATTAGGTACCTTCACTGGCTAGCTTTTTCAGCACAGAAACTGTATGGTGTTCTGCATGCCTGTACAGTCGTGCCCTGCTTAACGACTCCCCCGTATAACAATGAATCTGCTTCACGACAATGTTTTTGCAATCGCAAAACAATGTTTTAAATGGAGTTTTTTCGCTTTGCGAAGATCGGTTCCCTGCTTCAGGAACCAATTCTTCGCATTACAACGATCAAAACAGCTGATCGTCGGGTTTTCATAATGGCCACCGGGTGCTCAAAATGGCTCCCCGCTGTGTTTTTGGACGGATTCCTCGCTCTACAGGCAGCGGAAATGGCCACCCCATGGAGGATCTTCGCTGGACGGTGAGTTTTTCAGCCCATTGGAACACATTGAACAGTTTTCAATGTGTTTCAATGGGCTTTTTTATTTCGCTTTACAACGTTTTTGCTCTACAGCAATTTCGCTGGAACGAATTAATGTCGTTAAGAGAGGCACCACTGTAAATGTATTATAGAATGAACACTAAGAGCTATAAGTCACCAAATTAGCTCTTCTACCATGACATTCATTAAAGTATCTGAAGCTTAATTAGTGGCTGGTGCTTTTCTTAATAAAAGAAGTGTTAAAAAGAAGGCTCAGAGCACAGAGAGATCAGTACTAAGCATCCTGAGCTGTAGCCTGTGAACTAGAAACTTCAAACAGCCGGAGTGAGTTAGCATTGCAGTACTTAGGCCTTCTTTGTGATATGATTATATTTACTGTGCTTCCAAAATGTGTATGTGGTTTTTTAAATGTTTATCATGATTGTGATAGAGAGTGGATAATCTCATTTCTTTCCCTTTCCCTTAAAAAATCATTGTGTGTGGGTTTTTTTAAAGCAATATTAGGAAATCTGTTACTATTTTAAATAAAGTTAAGGATTTAAATGGTACATGGATGTATGAAAAGGGAAGGATTTTCTAAACAAAGACAAAGGAGGTAACCTAGAAAGGATATAAACATGACCTTGCAGCAGCTTTACTCATGCTGCTTATGCCTTTAAAGCTTATAACAACAAATGGGCTTGATACTAAAGTGTTAGTGACATATGTTTAAAATATGCCTGTATCATCAGTTTTTGTAATATGCTCCTTGAAATATTTCCTTTTTTATTAAATTATAATCTCAAACAATGGAAGTCATATTGGAAGTTAGATAGAGTAAGTGTGAGTTCTGCATTATATATCCCTCATATTATATGTAGGTACTGTATTTTGCGCTCCATAAGACGCACTTTTTCTCCAAAAAGGTGGGAGGGAAAGTACATGCGTCTTATGGAGTGAATGCAGTAACCCAGGGTTGAGCCACCACCACCCAAAAGCCTCCCACTGCCATGCTGGGAGGCCTCTGAACTGGCAGCAGAGACTGCTTTCTGTTTGGACCTCACCATTCTGCACTGCTAGCTTTCTAGGATCTGCCTCCTGCAGCCCACCTGGAA